ATCTCTTTGTGGCTATTAACACTCCTTGATTTATGGATGGATCTCTGGTCTCTGCCTCTGTGGTCACATTGTCTCCTCCTCTTCTATGGGGCAGTTTTCCTTTTACCTCTCTGCTATAGAGACCATTGGGGTTGCAGTTAGGGTCCACTTGGATAATACAGAATAACTCCATCTCAAGATCCTCAATTACACCTGTCAAGTCACACCCCCCCCACACACACTTCCAATAAAGTCAGTCTCAGGTTCCCAGGAATGAGGATTTCATGTCTTTGGCAATCTAATGACTACCATAGCTATATTATTAATTAAAGTGTTTTATAGTGGAGTCAACCTACAAAGATCTCTTGCTGCACAGACAGATTGGGAGATGTGTGCCCTACCAAGATCACATTCTTTGATGGCACTAAACTGTCATTACCTGCAGTTGGAAGGGCAAAACTGAACAGGGGAGCTCAGGATTGTCCCTTGAAAGGCAAAACCAATGAAGCTCAAAGGTAGGGAGCCAGGGGATCACCTATGTGTCTCTACTTCCTGGATGGTTAGAAAGGTGGCTCTTCTCCCCTTGGAAGCCATTTCGTTGTGGATGCCTTGTTAACCTCTGGCTAGAAATTTTCTAGGGGTGGAGGCTCCTGTGGGAAGGTCTTGCTTCTCTCAGCTTTACACTTCCAGGAGTCTTGTGTGTGTTCTACTATCAAATCTCTTGTCAGGTTTTCTTTCACTTGCCCGAGGCAGCTGATGGATATCCAATGTCTTTATGAAGTCAAGAAAGCCCGTTGTATTTTTAATAACAGTAAACTCAGCACCTTGTTCCCTTTAAAACACAGTGGGGTTACTGTAGAACACTGCTTCACAACACTGCTTTATTTGGTCACAGGGCCTATGGTCAAACTGTGAGGAGAGAATTTTATTGGATGCTAATCTAATATCTAACGCTGTGTTCATCTGTTCTTGCTTCTTGCCATTTATGGTGAAAAAGCTGCTGCCAGAGAACCATAAATGTTTGCTTCGTATTTCCAATCCCACCCCATTTCACTTCCATGCAGTGGGGGTAAAGGTATGCAGATAGCCATGCATTTCTTCTACTTTTAACAATACCCCTTCTTTCTTAAAAAAAAAAAAATGTATGACTGGACATCACTGCTGTGAAAATGCCAATATTTAGGCTTTTCCAAATTCCATGTGTCTCTGGGGCATTCTTAATGGCTAATCTTATAAGGCAAAACAAACAAAAAACCAAACCAAACCAAAAAAAACCCTTCATTTGGCTTCTGTTGCTAAGGTGGGCAGGGCAGAGTCCTGGGATAGTTAGTGATTTAGAGACATCAGCATTTGGCATCAAAGGCATGATGCATTGAAGGCTTTCGACTGTAGTGGGAGAGGAATACTGCCACTCACGGGGAGCTTGTGTTAATCCTCTATAGAACCTAATTTGGTGGATTTGAAATTCAATTACAAGAGTTTCATACACTTTGACAGCAGCAGGGAGGGAGACCAGCTAACATAACTTTTATAATCTCCGTTGGTTAGAGCCACATTTAGTGACAGACAACTCTCTTATCTCCCCACTCTTTGCTTCCTGGTCTTTTTTGGTCCCGGGCAAAATACATTGAATGAACTCATTGTTTCTTCTAGTCCTGCTCTCTCCTTCCCATTAGACTTGCTCCTATTGCTAAGGACCTATGTTCCTACACTTAGCATCTAACATGCAAGTTCACACCCCATTGTGGATGACTTTCAGATGTCATTGCTCCTTAGATCATTGCAGGGGACTCCATGTATAACATGATACCCCACCCAAAGGAACCCATCTTCAACAGAGGAGCAATTATTTGACAGTAGAACTGTCGGTTCAGCATCTTTCCAGATTTACCTGCTTTGCTTATAAACAGGCTAACCATGGGTCTGAAGACAACATCCTTTGGAGTTTTAATGGAGATTTTTTTGGTGATAAAAATGGAATTTTCCATGAAAATGTAATGCAGTTTTTTGTTTTGTTTTTGGTTGGACTCAAGGCCTTCAGTGCAAGCCCTATAGACTGGGAGTGAGTTTTAAAAACTAAGATGGTGGCCAGCTTTTGATAACAATTAATTCTGGGAACCACCTCTTCAGCAATTTGATCCCAAAGCGTCCTCTTCTCCCACTGGGTCTTCATGTAAGTCTAAGCCTTCAGGACTGAAAGTGTGCACTTAAAACCCCCTCCCGGTGCCTGGAATGTTCTGAATAGAAACCCTACTCTGGGTAGTGGTGCATCCTTTTGTTTGCTCTTAATTTTTTTCCCTTCCTATCTGCCCCTCTTCCCTAAGGGAATCCTACCAGTCTCCTGAGGAATCTCTTTGGATACTCCTCTTCCATACTACAGAATAAAGACTCCTCAATGACCCAAGCAGGGAGTGCTCAGACTCACTTTCTCAAAAAGTGAAAGTTAAACATTCTCGGATGAAGAATAGGCTGGATGAAATTGTGTATTTTCAAAATAAAGTGTGTAACCAGATTCGACAACTGGGTTAGCATGTTTAGCAGCAACCATTTTTCTCCTTTACGAAGTGAGTATAATCTTTACCAGAACCATGAGCTAATCGTGTATGGCTACTTTTCAACGTTATGACTTTCTCGAGTCTCATACAGCTGAACAAGTCTTCAGGTGGCTTACCATGTGATGAAATAAGGGCATAGGACACAAGTGTTTTGTTTATATACTTCAGTGCTTTAAGGGGGAAAATTAACTTTCATAATCTGGGAGACCAAACCTAAATCGGAGGGTTTTATCTGTGGCTAGGTTGCCAGTATAATCCCCAAAGGTGAAATCCTCTGCATAAAGGACATCATGTGGACCTGCTCTACGGTTGATGCATCTCAAAGTAACATGACCAAATCTCCCCAGCCTCTGTATTAAAGCCTGTGTGTACTAGAACCACACCCTAATGTATGCTTTCTGTTTTTTTCCCCTAGAATAGCTATCAAGTTAATTCATAGACTCATAGATCTCTGCCATTCCATGATGTACACATTTGCAGAGGCCTTCAGGGAGAAGTGCTAGCTCATGGCGATGTATAAAAGGATGAGGCTGTATCCTGGAAACCTAGGCTCTCTTTCTTACTCACCAATGATTCTCCATAAGCTTGTGGACAGTGATGCTGGCCCGATGAAATTAATGACTTTATATTAATGAAGAGCTAAGTACTCTGTCAGTTTTACTTTAGCATATAATTTTTGGCTGGAATAATATAGTTTGTTTTTACCACCCATGAGAACAAACATTTACTTATAGAAAGTCTCGTCTACTTTAAAAGAAAGGGTCCCTACTTACACAAATTATGTGACATATTTCTGATTGTTGGGTCACACACAGCAGCTTGTTTTTAGCTTATAAATAATGGGCATTAAGGGTTTCCTTATCTTTAAATTAGTGAAGATAAGTTAGGTTATAAGTGGAGAACACCACGAGAACATCCAATTGGCTCTCAGCAGGTGTGAGTCTAAAGTGCCTGTGAAGTTAACTACCACCAGGGCACCTGCTCCCCAGAGAACCAACCTAGCCAACAGAAAGCTGTGACAGGAGGCTTTGTTTCCTTGGTTATGGAAGGGTATTTGTTGCTATGTCAACTACACCTACAGGAACATGTGTGTACATTGTGCTTGTTTGGAGAATGTGTATTTGGGTTTGGAAAAAGTCAAATGGGTAAATGCACAAGGGGTGCACCACCACTTAGAAGACGAAACCCTGCCAGAGCTATTCTCCACCATTGCCAGAGAGGCAGCAATGAAGATGAAGGCACATTCCTCCTTCTCTCCTTGAGATCATGCAGCAGGCAAAGAGGATAGTGAGACTGAATACAACCAGTGATTAAGACAGGGGAAGTGTTGAAAAAGTTTGGCTGACACCAACTGCTACAAAATAAAATAAAAGAGCCCTGAACCGTGAATGAGTGCGATCCCTCAGAAAGGCAATGCCAGGAAAAAGTGGGGCAAAGGTCAGAGACTTGGGAATTGTTGGACAGACTCAATGCTCTAGGGGAAAACTTTTTCCTCCTCTATTTGGTTAGCCACCGAAGTGAATCTCACTTGTAAGTTCAGAGGTTATTTCACACATCAAATGATACAAGTGCAGGGACTCTGAACTCCAGGAAGGAGTCACTGACTGCTGAGGAGGTGTCTCCAGGATACATGAAGGAGAGAGAGCTGGCAACGGAAGCTCAGAGTAGGGAGGAGTGCCTGAATTAATACAGTCTGTGTGTAATTTCCTGTTCCTGGTTCCTTAACCAATGGCCTCAGGGCATCTGGAGATCCTCTGAAAGGGGCAGGGCCCTAGACTGATCCTCTGTAGCCGCCTTAATCTTGTCTATAGGACCTAGGATGCCTGACAAGACTTTGTGGTTAGGACATCTGAGTCTGTACCATGAACAGGAAGGGGCTGAGAAGCTGGGCCTATGGCAAAGGCCTACAGTCTCAGTGCCACCCCCATCCCTGCCTCTCCTCTCTCTCAGCACTAAGGTTTGTATAAAACAACAAAAATAACCTCACATGTTCATTTCTTGTGTTGCTATTTCTAGAAGCAAACCTTATTAAAAAGAAGTCAAAACTGCAGAACACATAGGAATAATCTCTCAGTGTATTTTAAGGGCTTATGTACATTACTAGCTAGTCTTTAAAATCTTTTCTGTTCTTGTTTATAACTATAAATGAGCAAGTTCATTGTAGCATTTACTCTTTATTGTGTGGTATGACGTACCTAGAGTAATGGGAGCATGAACTGTCCTAAACTGCCGGTCACCAGTCTCTCTGCACCAGTCATGGGCATCCTGTGCCCCACACTTTACAATCTATTGCTGATGCTATTAAATATGATGACACATGAGCAGGGGGGGGGATGCTGATAATGAATAGGGATTTTTGCTTGTTTTTGTTTTTTGCAAATACATATACACAGCTTACAAGGAAGTCCCAATGGAAACAAGACAAATAACACTTGATGTATTATCTATAAAATGTAGACTCTGCAATAAAAAGCCAAAGGCACATAAAAATATATTTCAACTTTAAAAATAACTTAGTTACAGTAATACCTTGCTTGTTTTTACCAACATGTAGCTGACAGTCAAACTTCTGTAACATGGAAATAATATACAGGGATATATAAGAACCACAAGAAGAAAACCCCGGTCCCATAAGGTTGTTCAAATATGAAGACAGTAAAATCATAACACTGGAGAAGTTGCTATGGTGAGCCCAAGGGATACAATATACAAAAGAGTCTAGGAAAAGAAAAGGCTTAGGTGTTAAGCAAGTTTTGATTTCTTTTCACAACATGCTGTAAAGCGCCTTGGAAAGACCCATTGACCCAGCCCTCTTCAGACAGCCTGGATTTCTGCCTGGCGGCAAACAAACAAACAAAATTGAGCCGAACATCAGCAATGCCTGCTGAAAATGAGCTCTGACTCACTCCCTCTCTCTTTTTCTTTTTGCCAGGACAGGTTTTTTTTTTTTTTTAATTTTTAAAATTATTGTTTTCAACATTGTTTTTGCAAACAGGGCACGGCGGTTAAAAAAATATTTTGTAGGAACAGGAACGTTATTTTAGAAAATGCATCACACTGCTGCAAAAAATCATCCAGCCAGGGCAGTTCTTTCCATCAGTTGTGGTTTGTTGAGTTTTTGTTTTCTGCTTATTTTGGTACCTCTTACTCCAAAGGAAAAGAGCTGACTCCAGGTTACTTATTTTTATCCATGACGTTCAGGACCTCATCCAAAAGTGAGGGCCCAAGATCCAGCTGCAATGAGAGCAGGGAGCCTGTCAGGTCAGAGAGGGAGTCCTCTGATTTAGTCTTCGACTTCATGAGCTCACAGGAGGCAGGGTGCTCAAACATGTCCTCCGCAGGCCAGTCGGAGTACTGTTCAGACAGGCTGGAGGAGTGGCTGTCCCTGCCCTGGCTGGACTGAGAAGCAGAACCACTGGAGCCCCACGAGGTATCTCCCTGGTGGACCGTCCCGTTCTCCAACAGACTACTTTTCTCCTGAACTTTCTCTTCCATGACAGGCTCACAGCTGAGCCTTGGCAACTTAGGACGCCCCAAGGACTCCTGCTTGGAATTGAATGTTACTGGTGACAATAAGGGCAGCATGAGAGCCTGGGATCCTCCAATGGTAGGGAGGGAGATGGCATTTTTGAGCACAGGGGAGGGTGTTTCTATGAACATTGAGTCCGAGGTGCTGTTGGCCCGGAAGAAGTCATTATGTCCAGGGAACTGGCCCGAGTGTGCTTTTTCTTGGTTTCCAGGCAAGAGCTCATAGTTCCCTTGAAGGAAGGAAATATCTCCAAAGACATCATGCTGGCCCTCTTTGCCGATGTGAATGGTGTGACGAAAGTCCCCCAAGGGAGGACTGATCATATCAGGGGACAGAATGTCCCTCAGTTTATATTTCTTTCCCTTCTTGTTGTTGGCTGCTTTCAGGTAAATTGGGGTCTTGGCTGGCATTGTGGAAATATAAGAATGTGTATTTCACAGACAGGGGAAAGACGACCTTCTGCACGAGTATCCCACACTTTCAAAAAAAGCCCTATTGATAAGAACCGTCACATTATTTTTTTTTCTCAAGTGGCTCTGAAATGACACAGGGTCTGGGAGGTCTTGCTCAGCAAAGGACTTTCATGTGCATCTTTCCCCAGAGCTGGTTACATCATCCAGTCCCTTCCACAGCACCAAGACACCTGGAAAAGAAACCAAAGCAGGCATGATCACCCATCCTTCAGGGTCCACCCAGACCTACCATTCCCCAGGAATTTATTATCCCAGTGCCTGGAAATAACGGCAAGGCCACTTCCCACCCAAAGCCCAGCTTATTTGCTTCTCCTAACTGTGATAACTTTAATCTCAGGAAGGATTCACTAGTGTTGGTCTTAGTTCAGGGGAAAACAGTAAAGAGGTACTTAGCCCCTAAACCTAAAATATCAATGTTTTTTAAACATGGCCGTGGGCATGGTTTTCTGAACACAGCTAAGATTTTAGTTTCCCTCTCTTCTAAAAACTGCTGTCAAGGGATTAGAGACATGGGTCAGCAGTTAAAAGAACTTGCTGTTCTTGTAGGACATCTGGGTTCAGATCCCAGCACCCCTGGTTGGGGGAGGGGGGAATCACACCTGTCTGTAATCTACTTCCATGGGATCTAATGTCTTCTTCTGACCTCCATAGTAGTAGGCATGCATGCAGTACACATACATACTACATACATGCAGGTACTCACACAGACACATAAAATTCTAAAGTAAACAAAACAACAACAAAACCACCTGCCATCAACATAGGACCAACTGGGTCTGTTTTAAAATGATATTTTATTTGCTTCTAATGCACACTAACAAGAGATGAGTTCTGTATGCGCATGAAATGAAATGACTAGCCCTAAAGGAAGGAGGCTGGAAACTATCATTTAATAAGTGACACTGGCTATTATATAATGGTTCAAGAAAACCTTATTCCAATGCATTCTTACAAATTGGGGGATGAGAGTAGGGGTGGGGGGCAGGGGTACAAACACACTGCTAGGACAGAGGGAAGCTACAGCTGCAATCAACTTGTGGTAGAGGCACTACTGAGCCACTGTGGACTCCAGAATTTAACAGTATTCTGGGGTGAAAGAGAAAGAAAACGGGACCTTATCTGGAACCACATATAATAAGTTGAGCTGCCCCTGAGAACCTTTAGGAACATCACTATAAGGCGAGTGCCCTCTGTCTAGGGAGGTAGCATTCTAAGGCAGCCCTGCCACCTCCTGGTGTTAATGCCTTCCCAGATCTAACTGCGATTTGCTTCTATCCAAAGAAATAGAGCAGCAGTCACTCCCTGGTTAGGTAACATTACAGAGGACCCTGAGCTGAAGAGTAGGGAGGAGGGAAAGAAAAAGAGTAAAGGAAGGGAGGGGCAGAGAAAGAGGGAGAGAACAAAGAGCAATTGTAGGGGTGCTCACATGTGCCCATGCACTTGACCAAGCTCCCTAGCTGGTTTGGAGGTAGCAATCTGTTTGCCCCATCTAGCCTCTCAAGAGACATAGCTCTGGCTCACACCTTGGTCATATCCCAGTGAGGCCCGGGCTCTAAACCCTGCCCAGATACCCACAGAAACCGTGACTTAACATAAGCAGATATCATTGCAGGTAGAACCAACACATCCTCCCTGTGGATACTATATGCTGTGATAAAGTGAGGAGAGGTTCCAAAGCCGGTCCAGGCTTGTCAGCCCTCCCCTTGCTGATGAGGAGAAACTTACATTTTGAAAATCCCCCTCCATCTACCCCAGGAGCTGACACTGAGAAGCCAAAATTGCCCATCTTCTCTTACCCTGCCTCCCCTCCCTGCCCCCTGGCACCGAGAATGACAATCAATACTGCTAGGACTGGGTCAAATGGTGGCTTGAAGACAATCGTCACATTTGCTTGGCAGCAGCTGGAGGCCCTCTACATCTGTTCCATATTTCTCTCCTTTCAGCAAGAGTTTTAAATTTACTTATCAGTGACAGGTGACAAGGGCTGTGCTCCACCACCCACTGGCAAAGGTTAACAGCTTGATCTGTCTGGGAATTGGCTTATCTGGCATGCACCAGCATGCTGGCCAGCCAGCCACCCAGGCCCGAGAAGGCAGAATAGGAAAAGAAGAAGACAACCAGCCCCACTTGGCTTTGTGTGTGGGGAGGAGGAACAGGTTTGCTCTTGCCAACAGTATCCTGACCACAGAGCCACCAAATAAAGCAGGACTCGGGTCCTGATGGTCTTGTTCAGCTCTGGTTTGGGTCTTGTCTCAATAAAAGAAGATGAAGCCATTCATAGAGGGTGTGTTGGTAAAAGTCTGTGCCATCAGCACTAGAGAAGTGGAGGCAGGAGGATCATGACTTCAAGGTCACCCTGTGGTAGTTCAAGGCCACTCTGAGATACTTGAGTCCCTATCTCACAAAACCAACAAACACACAAAAAACTGAACCCCTGGAAGACCCAAGAAAACACCTTCCTTACTCTATAGGTACACAACAAAGCCCCAACCTAGAGCCCCAGTGATACTTTTTGCCCCAGTATGCTCCTGGCTCTAATATGCTGTCTTGGCAGGGTGTCTGTGCCCCCTAGTACTGTCTCATTTGTAAATGGGGACATTTAACATTCTAGCAGGAGCTTCTTGTGAGTTGGAGAGAGAAGCATTGTGGGAACGTAGAGAGGCAATTGGTGGTAGGCAATTCCAGGGAAGAACTCCCTCCTCCCTGCCCCGGGCGGTATTATCAGCACACAGGGTCAGGATAGCAGCTGCCATGGAAAAGATTTGCCACTTGCCACTGATGCCTGCCTGAGGTCTGCTGGGGTTATGTAAGGCCAAGAAATACCCAGGGCAGGGCATTCCAGAATACCAAAGAACAGTCCTCTGCCTCTGACAGGACCACTGGCATCCATTCTGCAAATGAACAAGGACAGGGCATGGTTGGGAGGAGAATGGGGAGAAATACTTGCTCCTATCTAAGGGAGAGAGGTGTTCAGTACCAAGGCTTCCTGGGCCTCTTAAAGCAGCCCCTGACTGGCTACAGAGATTGTGAACTTTTAGCCAGAGGTTCCCTTGGCTTGGTAAAGGCTGGGATTTATGTTGCTGGCATGAAGACAAAAAGAGACCAGAGATACTGAGGTGGGACAGGGGGACAGGAGGGGCTGTGAGAAGTCTACTTGAACAGCAGAGGTTAAGATGCCAGAAACCATGTGCTAGGCCTAACAACTGTCAAATACAATGAAAGGATGTTTTGATTTTTAAAAGGAGGATATCAGACAAAAACACCAGTTCTCCCATGTAAAGGGGTGCATGTACAGTGCTGGCAGCACCTGGTAGCTATGACCCAGTCCTCTTGTGTCCTCTCCTGGATCCATGAGTTCTCCCAGCCCTGCTTATCAGCTAGTGGATCAACTTTCCCTTTCCAGGCTCTTGGCTCTTTGGACACTATTTCTGCCACTGCTCACACAGAAAGATAAAGTCTTCCCTAGTAAGACATGGTATTTACTGAGGGCCTCTCTACGTTCCCACAATGCTTCTCTCTCCAACTCACAAGAAGCTCCTGCTAGAATGTTAAATGTCCCCATTTACAAATGAGACAGTACTAGGGGGCACAGACACCCTGCCAAGACAGCATATTAGAGCCAGGAGCACACTGAACCCGGAAGCTAGGCTCTTACTCTGCAGTGGTAAGACATTTAGAGAGCCCATTCTCTGGGACTCTAGGTACTAAGGGACTGCATTCCAGTGCCTGTTGGAGACACAAAAGGCATGCAGACCCAAGGAGGATGGAGGAGAGGCTCCTGCATACATGGCAGGAGAAGTGTGAACAGCCCCAGCCTCTATCCAGACAGCAGATCAAACTCCTTTGGGCTCAGATTCCATATATGGAGGTTCAGTTCACTTAAAGATGTGGGAGATATTGTGTACAAGGGTATCCAACCAAACATTTGTGATAGTCAAGAGCTGGACACAACCTAGATGTCTACCTACAGAAGATCTATACAAAAGGTCCAGACACACAATTTAGTAGCATTTACATCTAAGAAGGAAAGAAACTTAATACAGCCATAGGCCAAGAGCCCAGTGACATACATGTTCAAAGGAAGAGAAAGAAGGTGCAGAAGTGAAGTATGTAATCTAACTGCCTCGCCTTGTATATCTATAAATAGGTAAGAAACTAACAATGGTGAGTGCCCCCAGAGAGCAAATGTGAATGGAACGGGACAAAGGTGAAAAGGATACATTCATATTGATCCTTTGTGAGTTCAGGTTCCTGAACCGTGTGAAGGAACTGGGTATTTTAACAATAAAAAGGTAATAAATGTGTAGGGCTCAGACACTGGCTTAAAGAGCCAATTTTGTACATGGTACTTAGGTTTGGCAAAATCCAGTTGGCACATGATCAGAGTTTTATTACTGTGCTTCAGTCAGGATTCCACCACCAGTGTGAACTCTGGCTCAGCCAGGCACTGAGGGCACTGGTCACTGAGACCACATGGGGCTACCTTTACCCATCTCCTTTGATCAAGAGCTTGCTGTTCAGTCTCCAGTGTTTCCAGTTTTCTTTAGCATTAGTGCACTCTCTATTTTCCTGTATCATTCAAAGACAGAAAGGTTGGTTTCTACTTGTAGACTGCTCTCAACACCCATCCCTTTACTCTGAATCTGAAGTCCCATGATTGCATGCTCATGACGTACAGATCATTGTTTTTCTTCTCTGCTACTATGAGAGTCGATAAGACTTGTCTCAGAAGTTTTTCCTTAGAAGACAAACACTCAAGTTCTGGGCACTGGCAAGGGAAGCTCTGCCAACAAAGGGCCCTAGAGCCCTGTATGAGTCTAGGTAATTCTACTTATTTACTTGTGACTATCTTAAGCATATATGGCAGATAATGATTAAAAATAACCCACAGCAATAACAACTTGATTATGGGAAAAACTGAACCATTTCTTCACTGATGTTATTATTTGGGGGAGGGAGGATGAGAGGCTTTCATAACCAAACCTGTTTTAGCTTCCATCCTGTTAGGGCCATAGGTATGTATCAATGCTTTCTCTCATTTTATCTTGATTTCTTGGAAACAGTGTCTCACTCTGTAGCCTAAGCTATCTTAGAACTCACTATGTAGTCCAGGCAGGCCTCAACTTAGTTATCCTCCTGCCTTGACCTGCCAAGAGTTGAGACTGCAGGC